ATTCCCCTTTGACTTTGTACCGAGGAGTTGGTTTCTTAAAATCAGCTCATTTCATCATCAATCCACTTCCTCAGGTAACGAACTCTGGCGTAGACGCCATATTTGCCTGGGGCGGCACATCCATATCCCCATGACACAACACCCTCGAGATAGTACTTTCCACCTGACTCGCAAACCATGGGGCCACCAGAGTCCCCCTGACAGGAATCTTTGCCACCCTCTCTTAGACCAGCACAGACCATGGAGTCATGAATGGATTTGCCATAAGCATATTTACAGGCAAAACGGACCGTTTATAACTGGGACGATGGATGCCGTTAGTTGATTGATCAACCACTGATTAAACTCGTCTGATTACAATTAACTTCCATGCTTCCGAGTTAACTCCTTAACATTGATTTCCCTTTGTAATTGCTTTGATCATATTACTTGGTGTGTATGCACATATATTGATTATAAATTAAGCTATATTTCTTTTCTTAATATGATCTCACCTGACACGAATGTCTCTTGGAGATTTATTAGGTACGCAATGAGCAGCTGTGACAACCCATTGTGGTGCAACTAAAGTTCCTCCACAGAAAGGAAAGCCTGAGGTAGTTCTTATCTGTGCTTGCCACGGCCAAGCTCCTTTAGGGGCATCGGTACCACCGACAATTCGAGCGCGAGGTTTAATTCCACATTGTCCCGAGCCACCGCCACCACCGCCACCACCGCCTCCACCGCGAGTACAGTAACCACAAAGTTTTCTGACAGTTACTCCTCAGGTATATTTCATATCTTCCCTTACAGTATCTTCGTTGTTCCCAGTTAGGGCAATGTCCATTCTTGTCTTCACAACCTAAATTATCAACCAAACGCTCTTTAAATGTGAAAAAAACAAAAAACAAAAAAAAAAACAAGCACAACTCGACTCATTTCCTCATTCGAAGGATTTCAATCAAAAAAGAACAAGGGGGATGGAAATGGAATTCGTAGACTAAAAAATTAAGATAGCAAGCAAAACTACAATAACTTTGGACAGGGTGAACTATTAACCAAAAAGAATGCACGGTTTAATTAGGATATTCAGTATTCACAGTAAATCTTGGCGGCTAGCAGAGTCTTCGTGGCTTCAGTGAAGATTTCGAACGAACTGTTTCCGCGCTTGAAAATCACAGTAATAAACAACTTACATTACTTCGGACGAGATTCGAAAGAAGAATGACTTTTGTTGCCTGAAAAGAGACTTAAATGCTTTCTCCTGTTAGTCGCGAAGTTCTGAACTTCGTTCACACCGATTCTGGCAACCTCATTTCAAATTTCTATACATATAGGGTAATCATTGCAACGTAAATGCTGAATTCGTACAATTTAACTTCCAATTTTCTTACAAACCTCCTCGTCAAAGTTCTGTGAAAACCTAGTTTTGCCCAGATTGTCCCATGAGCCGGAGAGCAAACGTTTCTAGAGCATCACGGTTATCATTGTAGCTATGCTCCAAGCGCGCTTCATCACATTTTTCCAAATTTAGTTGTCAAAAAACGTACACATTATAGAATCAACTTTACTCACAAGCTTAAGGGTAATCGAGACACAAAGCGTGTTACTACGTACGTTAACCCGTACGTTAACCCCGAGATGTTAGTGTGTGATAACCGGCTTTTGGATCAAAATAAGCTAATTATATTATCCTTTCTGTTACAGGACTTAAGTATAAAAGCAACCTTAAAGTTAAATTTAAATTTAAGTGACTGAAAAAGTACAAAATAAAAGTAATTACCATTTGCGAGACTTGCTAAGGCAGCAAGGCTCAATACACAGACAACCAGTACAGACTGCATGATAAACTGCTTTATACAAAGCGGTTTGCAAGCTCTGTGAACAAAACGGAAAATTCTTCCTTGAGGGTGTTGTGTCATGGGGAGTTGGTTGTGCCAGTCCAGGAAAATATGGCGTTTATTCTAATGTACGCTACTTGAAGCAATGGATCGATAGTACCATGAACAACAACTAGACTGTCAGAGAATCACATGTAATTTCATGACATCGAGAAGCAAATTAAAAACAATAATTCTTCAACTTTCGTGTTTTTTTTTCTAGGCTTCCTCAATTTAAAATCCTGCCTGATCAGTCTAATTAGTTTCTTGCTGAACATATAAATAATAATAATAATAATGATATATAATAATGATAATAATAATTATTATTATTATCCTTTATATCAAGCCGCAGTTCTTTCTCTCTCGTTAGTACAATGTCGTATCGAAAAATACGCTTACTTTTAAATGAAGATTTATTTTCCCGCTATCTCATGAAGTGAAAACAATCGAAAGTCGATTATCGGCCAATTACCTACAACGCACGATTTGATATCACTCGTTTCACTTTAATAATATCACATAACAAACATTCCACTTGACAAAAGGTATATACTTCATCTTTTTGTACTGAATAAGACACCGGGCATGCATCGCTGATCATGAGCAGACTAGAAAGACCAGAGACTAATGGCCTTGGTTCGTTCTTGGTGGATTATTCTCCAGATTAGTATTTGTTCAGCTTTTAAAATTTTCTTTAACACACTACCGATACATAAGGCAACTGATGAAATTTCCCAGTAATCAATTGAATTTTAGTTAAAACTTGCACCTGAATGAAAACAAAATATGACTTTTATTGGGATTTGAATCACCGACAGGAGCCGATTACCTGTAATCGGCTGCTGTCACCGATCAAGAGAAAAATTTGGCACAGTTTTTTTAGAAGTTTGCATAAAAATGAGATAAAAAAGTTATTACATAACTTTTATGTTGTTAAACTGAATTCAGTAGTAACAATAACTATTACAAATCGATAATAATTAAAATCAATAAAAAACTGTTAAAACTTCGGCGATCATTAATCAGCTGAATTTGTTCAGATTTTCAAGGTGATCTACCGGGGTTTCAAGTTCAATATTAATGAAAAAAAAGAGTCTTTACACTTGCGCTTTTAAAATTTTATAGCAATTCCTGACTTTTAGTATAGGTGGTGGAACAGTGAAAAATGTAACAACAGATGATTTTGTTGAAAGGAGCAAAGAAACAACTGGGTTGTCTTTGCTGCCTCAAAAGTACCATACAGTCACAATGATAAACAGTCAAAATATTGAGACAGCGCTTAAAACCTATGTTCAAAGCAATCTTTTTGTTGAATATAAAACACAAAAGCAATTGTCTATTTACTCAGCCTCAGTGTTTTATATTGAAATTCTCTCAACTAACATTTAGCAATTGCATCAAAAAGAAGAACACAACAATAAAAAATTAGGTTTTTATATCCTAATGACGGGAAACGAAAGTCGACTGGGAGCAATTTCGAGCAAAAGTTTTGATTGTAGCAAGTTCGACGAGAAGTTCATAAATTCAAAATAACTTTGCCTTGTCCAAATATGACTTATTAAGAAACTATCTCAAAAGTGATTACAGAAGATCTAATCATTTGGTTTAATTAACCCAGCATCTCAGTTAAAGTGTGTAAATTTCATCCTAGCAAATGTATGCCTTTTGTTTGCACGGTGGATCGTAGTGGTTATTAGTGTTGACAGACCTGTCTATAGAAAATAAAAAATTAATCAAGGACTTGGATGACTTTGCTTGTTCAGGCAATCTGCATTGACTCATTTCCTAGGCATATAAGAAGCTGCATGTGTTTCTGCAGACTAGATACCTGGTTCACACAGCATTAAGCTGGACACAGTTCATCATGAAAGTTTCAGCGATTTTCTGGGTCTTCTGTGCAACTCTCCTCGCCGGTTACGGGGATGGTAATTGTCCTTTTAAAACAATATTTTTATTTTCAATCATTTGTCTAAATATTTAGTCTCTTAAAAGAGCAATGGAAAGTAACTGTGATCGGGGTCAAACCCGTCAAAGAAGGCAATCCGATAAAAAACAAACTTTAAAAATCGATAAAGATAGAAACTGAACATAAAAGAATCGTTCCATTACTGATGCAATATTCCTTTTCGTCTCATTAGAACGTGAATGTTTTGTTTCTTTTTTTTTTTAACTATTATAACGGTAATGATAAAATATTACCTATTTATTTCTTATATATATATTTAAGTATCCGGCATGTACGATGAAAGGAATTTTAATGTCGAATTATTTTTAAAATTGGAGAACTACTTCATTTAATAGCCTAATTTATCATTGCACACATGTACAGGACGGCGTTGTGGCTATAAACCTAACGTACGAATTGTAGGAGGTACGGAAGCGCCCCAAGGAGCTTGGCCGTGGCAAGCACAATTCAGGGCTATATATACAAGCTCTGATGAGCAGTATTGTGGAGGAACGTTGGTTGCTCCACAATGGCTTGTCACTGCTGCACATTGTGTGACCGGTATGAAGCCCTCAGACTTCAGAGTGAGGTAGATGAACATACGAGTATTATCGCGTATTAAGAGGTTCATTTTAGTTTATTCATTTCATTTCTTTTTATGCGAGCTTATGAATCGTGATGTTTTTATTTGTTATCTGATTTTTTATCTATTGTGTACATTTATCTATTTTGTAGTTAGCGTTTAGTTTTAATGTCAACTTCTTGTGATTATTTTTACTTTTTAGTTTTATCTAATTTTTGTAAACATCGCCTTTGAATCTTGTAGAAAAGGCGCTATATAAATGGTTATTCTTCTTCTTCTTCTTCTTCTTATTATTATTATTATTATTATTTATTGTTTATAGATACAGCTAATGTTCGAATTAGCGCCAGGGGAGCGGGGTGTCGAAAAAAGGTTGCCGATAGGGGACGTGGGAGCACTGACTTCGTTTTTCGGAGTTCGGAGCTTAAAAAAACATTGTCTTATTCCAAATAAACTCAGGCTGTGGCAAAAGAATAACGTATCCTTAAAGCGAAACAATTTTTTTAATGTGACCACCCTCAAAGTGCTGTTTCCTTTGAGGTCCTCTTTGTTCTGTATTGAAATGATACTGATCTACGTATATACTATACATTCAGTATTTTTCCTTTCTATGGTGACAATTTGGGGTGGGGCACTTATTCGAAGGAGGGAGCTTATTTGGAGGTGCGCGCAAAATCGAGAATTTACAGGAAAAGACCTTTGGAGACGACACGGTAGATTGATTAGTACATTCTAGAAAATTATGTGCGATGCGTTAGACTTTCGATAAAACCGTAGAACACTATTTTAAAACTTTCTCACAAAGGATTTAAAATGTTTCCCAGCAAAAAAGGTTCGTCAATAACCTTCAGTAAGACGATACGTTTGATGCCTAATTTCAAACTTACAACAGGGCTAAAAAACCGAAGAGAATTAAGTTATAAAATAAAATTAAAATATATCTTTAGCTTAATTTCTCTTCTTGAATTTAATTCTGTAGACTTGGAGCTCATTTACGCAATGGCTTTGTAGGAACGGAGCAGGATTTTGAAGTGGCAAAAATCATATCTCATGACAGCCATCACGTTCCTGTCGCAAATGCTTATGATATCGCCATGGTAAAACTTAAGAGGCCTGCAAGATTAGACAGAGCTGTTAATCTGGCATGTTTACCGCAGTCAGGAGGAAGAGTCAAAAATCGGAAGATGTGTTGGGTAACAGGTATGCTTGAGGAAAAGAATATTAAGGCTGGCTGGGGAGGGATTATTGTAAAATCTGTCAGCGAAATTATTTTCGGCTTTGCCGCAAGACTTCACAAAGGGTTTGGTTTCTTTTACTGAGTTTTGTACTCAAGCTCGTTTTAGAGTATTATATACTATAAATTTAGAGTTTTTTTGGCTGTTAAGTTTTTTTGACGTTTGTATAATGGCACCCTTATTATACTAGGTTTCGGAAAGCTGTCATCAGGTGGGCCATACGCTACTGCGCTTATGCAAGTTGAAGTTCCAATTGTATCAGATAACAAATGTGCTGCTGGTTATGGTTCAGACCTTCATGAATCCATGATTTGCGCTGGATATAAAGAGGGAGGAAAGGATTCCTGCCAAGCAGATTCAGGTGGACCACTTGTCTGTGAGAGAAATGGACAGTTTGTTCTCGAGGGCGTGGTATCGTGGGGTCACGGATGTGCCTGGCCTAAGAAATATGGGGTCTACGCTAATGTGCGCTTCTTAAAGCAATGGATTGATGATACTATGAAAAATAACTAACATACCCAAGTGTACATGAGTACATGGGTTACTGGATAACAAAGAAATAAAAAAATCAAATTATTGATTTGCGTTTCTGAATGTCCATGCAGGTTTTTAACCCTTTCAAAAAAAAACTCCCATTCAAAAATAGTGCTGAATGTAAACATTAGTAAACTCCTCAAATTAAAACGAGCTAGTGCTACAGGTAGATCGGCTACAAAAAACCTTGCGCGAAGGCTACGAGCAAACCCCATAAAACTTTTCCTTCTATTTTAAGGGAAAATTTTATATGACTAGCCTGTGTACAGACGTCCCCCCTCCCTCTCCCGATTTTTCCTTGATCATGAGGGAGGGGGACGTATGTACACAGGCTATATGACAGATAACATGAACATTACGAGATATGCTGTTGCAGTCGGTTCTGTAATGTCATACTTCATCATTTATTCATTGATCGAATGCCACCAATAGCAAACAAAATATTTCAAAAACTATCCATGTATTGTTTAATTTTGGAGACACACAGTCCTTCAGGCTAAAAAGATATATTTTTCCTTGTCGCTCAATATCACAGATTTGAAGAAATAAAAGGTAGCATAAACTGCCATTTACGCGCGGTAACCACTTAGAGAACTGCTAATAGTTGGACAGCTTTATAACTGAGACTCATCCAGGAGAATTTTTGCCGTATGAAGCAAATTAAGCTGTTTCCAGTTCCTGCCCAAAAAGAACCAAAAATACCCAAAAACGTTGTTTACAAGTCGAGCTCTATGCATGCGTTGATTTCTGATGGCAAAGAACGGCCTCCGAAGTTCTGCATGCGCAGAAGGCCAAATTTCGCTCCCATCCCTGAAACGTTTCTGCGGTAGGCAAACATACTTCTCGATTTTGGAGTTGGGTGGAATGTTAGGGGCAAAGTAAAGTAATTAAAAGTAAAACTTTATTTACACAAGGTAACCCATTCAGCTCAAAGGCTGGTCTCCATAGTGGCCCTGTATCTTAAAAATTAATTCACCTTCAGAATTATTATAAAATATTACATTTCAAAGCCTAAAATATAATAAAAATTTCAAGTCATGATAAGAAGAAATTTCTTGCTCGGCGGCAGAACGTCTAAATCTTATCACCCTTCACGATGTCTAAGGCGAGTTTATTAAAACATTTTGCGCCAGTAAACAGAAAGGTTCTTTCCCCAAGATTCTGCTTAACTTTTGGTAGAGATAGCCTCATACTTTGCCATGTGGAATAATTTCCTATTTGACCCCGTTTTTTGCCTTTTTCCCCCACTGCGGAACCTGGTCCCAGGCTAGGCAGATCTATTCTGTAGGCGCTGTAGTCTATCCATGTCTTGTTGTAGAAGATTACTCCAAGCGATGTCACAGTAGTAATCAAATAATGAAAGAATTAAAGTGTTGTGAACAAGTGTTGCTGCCTCTTTTGTGACGAAACTTCTAACATAGACCACATCCAAGTTTAGGCGTTTAAAAAGAGAAAAGAGACATTTTAAAGTTTTTTTTTGAAAAGATTTAGAGCCGTTTAGGTTATTTATCAAATTTCGTAATTCATCCTTTCTGTGCTTTATTCCTTGGCGTTAATATCATAGAGCTTAGCCAACGAGAAAGGTGACAGCAGAGAAAACTTCACGTATAATCAGATGAAGTGATTTCGCGTTCTTTCCTTTTAGAAATTTGGACTAATTATCGTGGAGTTGAATGGTTAGGGACTGCAGCATTCAAGTTTAAAAAGAGAGAGTCGTCGTGGTCGATATGGATCCTCATGGAACGTCGTATATACAGTTAAGGAGGTTTCAGTTGTTTAAGAGTCCTTCAAGTCATTTTGTGCTAAATAGATGAGTGGAAAGCCGAATCCTTTTATTCCTTGGAAAGGGGTATTGTTTCCCTGGAATACACAACCTTACAAAAAGAAAAGAAAAAAGAAGAGAAAATGCTTGGGAAGTTGTCTCCAAGCGTTAAAAAACAGCGAATCTTTAACTGACACAAATGAGGACCACCGTTTTTTTTGAAAGGTTAAAATTTTCATTTCCGCCTTCTTATTAGAGTATGGAATCCGAGCCAAGTTTACAATAATACACATCGATAAAATAGTCAAATATAAACTGCATTTTTCTGCTCTTTTATTTATTCCCCTTTGACTTTGTACCGAGGAGTTGGTTTCTTAAAATCAGCTCATTTCATCATCAATCCACTTCCTCAGGTAACGAACTCTGGCGTAGACGCCATATTTGCCTGGGGCGGCACATCCATATCCCCATGACACAACACCCTCGAGATAGTACTTTCCACCTGACTCGCAAACCATGGGGCCACCAGAGTCCCCCTGACAGGAATCTTTGCCACCCTCTCTTAGACCAGCACAGACCATGGAGTCATGAATGGATTTGCCATAAGCATATTTACAGGCAAAACGGACCGTTTATAACTGGGACGATGGATGCCGTTAGTTGATTGATCAACCACTGATTAAACTCGTCTGATTACAATTAACTTCCATGCTTCCGAGTTAACTCCTTAACATTGATTTCCCTTTGTAATTGCTTTGATCATATTACTTGGTGTGTATGCACATATATTGATTATAAATTAAGCTATATTTCTTTTCTTAATATGATCTCACCTGACACGAATGTCTCTTGGAGATTTATTAGGTACGCAATGAGCAGCTGTGACAACCCATTGTGGTGCAACTAAAGTTCCTCCACAGAAAGGAAAGCCTGAGGTAGTTCTTATCTGTGCTTGCCACGGCCAAGCTCCTTTAGGGGCATCGGTACCACCGACAATTCGAGCGCGAGGTTTAATTCCACATTGTCCCGAGCCACCGCCACCACCGCCACCACCGCCTCCACCGCGAGTACAGTAACCACAAAGTTTTCTGACAGTTACTCCTCAGGTATATTTCATATCTTCCCTTACAGTATCTTCGTTGTTCCCAGTTAGGGCAATGTCCATTCTTGTCTTCACAACCTAAATTATCAACCAAACGCTCTTTAAATGTGAAAAAAACAAAAAACAAAAAAAAAAACAAGCACAACTCGACTCATTTCCTCATTCGAAGGATTTCAATCAAAAAAGAACAAGGGGGATGGAAATGGAATTCGTAGACTAAAAAATTAAGATAGCAAGCAAAACTACAATAACTTTGGACAGGGTGAACTATTAACCAAAAAGAATGCACGGTTTAATTAGGATATTCAGTATTCACAGTAAATCTTGGCGGCTAGCAGAGTCTTCGTGGCTTCAGTGAAGATTTCGAACGAACTGTTTCCGCGCTTGAAAATCACAGTAATAAACAACTTACATTACTTCGGACGAGATTCGAAAGAAGAATGACTTTTGTTGCCTGAAAAGAGACTTAAATGCTTTCTCCTGTTAGTCGCGAAGTTCTGAACTTCGTTCACACCGATTCTGGCAACCTCATTTCAAATTTCTATACATATAGGGTAATCATTGCAACGTAAATGCTGAATTCGTACAATTTAACTTCCAATTTTCTTACAAACCTCCTCGTCAAAGTTCTGTGAAAACCTAGTTTTGCCCAGATTGTCCCATGAGCCGGAGAGCAAACGTTTCTAGAGCATCACGGTTATCATTGTAGCTATGCTCCAAGCGCGCTTCATCACATTTTTCCAAATTTAGTTGTCAAAAAACGTACACATTATAGAATCAACTTTACTCACAAGCTTAAGGGTAATCGAGACACAAAGCGTGTTACTACGTACGTTAACCCGTACGTTAACCCCGAGATGTTAGTGTGTGATAACCGGCTTTTGGATCAAAATAAGCTAATTATATTATCCTTTCTGTTACAGGACTTAAGTATAAAAGCAACCTTAAAGTTAAATTTAAATTTAAGTGACTGAAAAAGTACAAAATAAAAGTAATTACCATTTGCGAGACTTGCTAAGGCAGCAAGGCTCAATACACAGACAACCAGTACAGACTGCATGATAAACTGCTTTATACAAAGCGGTTTGCAAGCCTCTGAGTTTTCATGCCTTTTATGCACAAGAGCCATTAAAATTGCGAACCTGAATAACAACAGATGGAAAATCCAGTAAATAGAGGCTTGCGTAGTCATCACAATATCTGTCAGAAAATATCTTATCATTATCATCTTTATCTAATACAACTGTGGTGGCGATTTTTCCAAAACTTTGTTTATGGCGACGTAGTTTATGCTCAAACTTGGGAGGTATTGACCCTGAAAAACTGTATCGAGCCATCTTAAAAGGCAATAAATTCGTATAGGTAATAGCATGATTTGTAGTGATATTTGGCTTAAATACCACGAGTGATATTTCGAAATTGTTATACGTACGTACATTGTTATAGGCGAGAGAAGTCTGAGACAATTTTGAAATATCACGAGTGGTATTTATCCCAAATATCACGTACAAATCATGCTATTATTTGTTTATACTACTACCCGCAATACTTTTAAAATTTTCACATGTAGGTATTTCAAATTAAGCTGAAATACCACTGCTCTAAGCCAATCAAATTGTAGAAATTTCTCGTGTAGTAGTACAACAGCTGAAATATTAGAGGTCAATTTTTATAGCAAATAAGTTAACTTAATTTACTCGAAACGTCGGGAGCAGAATTGTTTCTAGTTCCATTTTTCATTTTTTGACTGCACCATTTGTCATCAAAGCCTTTGTGAGCGTTTCTAATTTTCGAAAGTATTTTTCATTTTTATTTTGAACTCAGAGGAGGAGCGAATAGTATCCCATGATGCACCTTGTTTCATGTTATATTATCACTGCGTACGTGACATATCATGATCACTACTCTTCAGCACGCGCGTAGTGAACATCGTAGTGCTCGATGTGTATGGTTTCCAAACATGTTTCGGTTCAGCAGCTTCTGCTTTTGAGAATATTGAGTTAGCAGATATTCATTGTGCTTTAAAGAAGAATTTCAACGTTACTTTGAAGGGTTACATGTGTTTCACTGGTCTGTCGAGAACTACTTGTGCGCTCGGTCGCAACTACAAACACAAAGTATGAGACTTGGCAACTGAAAGGTTCACCAGGAGAAACGAAACCATGACTGATCTAAAAAGTGGCTCCAACAAAACAGCCGCTACGCTGTGAAGGTAATTGCCAAAGGAGGATTTATTTCAGCATCGCGCTCAAAGGAGCTCAATTTACAACTGCAGTTACAAATAAAATTTAACCTATCGATGCGACAAACAATCCTCTGAATCTACCCGGTACTGACTCACGCAATCTTCAAGGAAATTTCCTGACCAGAATACTGATCTGTTCTTTTGAATAATTAAAGTTTCTGATATATATTTTTTTCAATTTCTGAGCAGGCTTGTTTAGCGTTGTACCTCGTTGTGCCGCTTGCATGCTGCGTGGCACCTTTGTCTGGGTTCCTATCACACTGAAACACACGGTAATATTTACCGCTCCTTGTTCTAATTAAAATAATTATAGTCAAATTCCTTTTAAAAATAACCACTATGAAAATACAAAGTGATTACTTCGGCATAAAGTGCTCTTGAAAGCGCCCAACAGATGTAGCCTTCAGCAGGCTTTACACATACAACACATATATTATCACACATGGCGTTGAAATGTGATAAAAGATACGAAATTTCCGCCATCTTTGCTCGATAAAAAAGTCTTCAAAATGTGGGTACTTCTGGGTACTTCTTAGCCTGTACAATATTCAGGACCTCAATTTGCCGGCGTGAGGACCACATTTGGAAGACTTCAACATATAATCCAAAAAATCGTAAATATTCATGACCTTGTTGTGGGTCACTGAACACTTTGTGATAAGAAGACTAAGTGAAACAATGAAAATAAATGTTTCTATGTTGTAATTTCGCTCTTAAGCCATTGCAAATCGGAGAAGTCATGTCAAATAACAAAATAATGCAATTTTCTTACTTTTACTGGAACACAAATGAGAAAAAAGGCGACGAGAAAACGACCTTATTTCACGATGGAATCTGCCATGACTGCGATATTGCGTAATGCATCTGGAAAAATGCATCATGGGATACTATTCGCTCCTCCTCTGGGTTGAACTTTTAATTTACAGACTTGGAGCTCACTATCGTAGCAGCAATGTTGGAACAGAACAGGATATCCCAGTGGAGAAAATCATCTCTCATCACAGCTACAGAAAGCCATATGGAATGGCCCACGATATTGCTATGGTCAAGCTATCGAGGCCCGCTACGCTTAACAAAGCCGTTAACATAGCGTGTTTGCCTAGTTCCGGAGGAGATGTTGCAGATGGCAAGATGTGCTGGGTAACAGGTAGGAGAAATGAGAAACTGAAATGATCAAAACTTCCTAAACATTCCGTGAGCTTACAGCTCAACAGGATCTACATGGAAGTGCGAAGAAACTGAGTGCATAACGGGTACATTTATTTTAACTGAAAAGCCATAGGAGGGATTTCAATTGCGCCTCAGTCAAATATAAGGTGCTGCTGAAGCAGTGGAATGCTAATTACGAGGAAAATTTTTGTTTAAAGAATCTTCATGATCATGCATGACTCTTGAGGAATAGCCCACTAACCATTTGCACATTAGTTTATCAGTTTCTATGACGGAACTGTCAAGTTTTACTCTCTACTAATTAAAGACTCCACTCCACATCCCCTATAATACACCTTGTTTGCCCCTCCCACATTTTGCTTAAGAAATTGTCTTCAATTTCTCTCGTGACGACTTTAATTCCCAGGAGAAATTTAAAAGAAAGCTTATACAAAATTTAGGCGGGCAAATAAAGTGTCATGTATGCAGAGTGATGTGCAAATGCCGAATTTCTAAAATAATATTACCCAAGGTTACGGAATTCAGAGCACGTGTAGATTGCTTTCAGTAGAACATACTAGTTGTTTCTTCGATTATTTAAAGGAATCCTTTATACGTTGTAAGTAAATGGGGTAGGCTTCTTAACCCCAAAAAGCACCGGAGCTAAACTGCAATTTCTTTGTTGTGTCCGTTCGAAAATGTGCTGTGTATATGCAAAATGTTGAGAAGTTCTGCATAACAATATGTAGTTCACGCAAAGAACAGAAGCGAGTTTTACATTAAGCATGGGCCAAAATGGCACTTATTAAGAAATATAAAGATGTTTAGTTTTTAACGGAGGCCTATAGCCAACTGACTACTTTACATGCAATAGTTCAGTGACGATGTGACACAGTGTTTGGCTAATAGAATTATGGAAAGACTGAAAGATAGCCATTTGATAACGAACGTAAAATCCTTCAAGCCCGCCAGCGCACATTCTCTAAACAGAATAGGTGGTTTTCATGCAATCTCGGGAGACACAAATAACAATGGTGAAATGAACAAATGCTGGTGGACAAACAAAGCGAGCTAATGAGCGATCTTTTGTTTACCGTCCACCAGCATGGCGGCGATGACGTAACGTGAAAACCACCTATAAGAAGCCCAGCTCTGTTACTACTGAAACAACTCAATAATCCTCTGACAAAAATCACTACTTATCAGGTATAGGAAAAATCAAAGTTCAACCTTACCATTTTCAATTCCGTGTCCGGAAAGAAAAAGTTGCGGATTCAAAATATCCGGATACGTGTGGACGTAATGTGGACGTGGCCTTTGTTCCACAATGGAGCATTGTAGCTTGCGTTCTTTGTTTCAATTTTAGACCACGTGATGGTTCCCTAGAGACGTTTCTTTTTTCGTCGAATTTTTCCCTATCCACGTGCATATGTTTGCGTAATTAATGAAAAGGCAAAAAGCAAATTTGAATGAGGAAATCACGAGGTCTGAATTGAGAAAAACAAAAGAAAACAATCTTTATTCATCAGCACCATCCTTTAATATTTTTTTGGATGCCGTTGCTCTGAGTTTCTGAATCGAACACGCTCTTAAAACACGTATACATGTTTATCAACCAATACAAACAGAAATGCAGTTCTCATTCAAGCTGTTCAAAAATACTTGCACAAAGGAAACAATGCGCTCTTATGATGACTGCATTTCGGAGAGCACATTTCTTCTCGTGTCTTCTTGTTTAAGTGTAACTTAATTTGGGAACATTTCATTTCATGAAAACAACTTGTTTGTGCCTTGATGCTTTGCCAGCCGTCTAGTACTCACCTGAAGTAAAATTTAATGTAAGAAGAGGAACATCTCATAGTTTCAAAAACCCTTATTTAGAAATGAAGCTAAGTGAAAGAGATTTCATACAATAAGTGTGTTTATTGCACAAAAATGAAGAAAAAAACAAAGAAAAAACACAATGACTCTCATATCGGAGATTACCATTATCTTCCTTTTGAGACGGTAGTTAGGGGTAGCTTAAAAGAAATCAATTATATTGTGAGTGTCATAATTATGATTAATTAGCATAATTTAGCATACATTAGTGTTGCGCATGCTCATGTAAAATCATTGATCCTTGCCTTAAGCTTGTTTAGCTCACACCTTGCAAAAAAGAGACGAAAATAGGGAAAAGAAACAAGTGCAGAGCAATTATGTTACTAATTGTCACGTTGTGTTAATTTAGGGTTTGGAAGACTGGCCTCGGGTGGCGCCATGCCTACCGCCCTGATGCAAGTTTCTGTGCCAGTTGTGTCAGAAGCCAGCTGCAGACAAGCTTACGGTTCATCTATCCATGACTCCATGGTCTGCGCTGGGTTAAAGGAGGGTGAAAAGGATTCCTGTCAGGGAGACTCTGGGGGACCTATGGTCTGTGAACAAAACGGAAAATTCTTCCTTGAGGGTGTTGTGTCATGGGGAGTTGGTTGTGCCAGTCCAGGAAAATATGGCGTTTATTCTAATGTACGCTACTTGAAGCAATGGATCGATAGTACCATGAACAGCAACTAGAGTGTCAGAAAATCACATCTAATTTCATGACATCGAGAAGCAAATTAAAAACAATAATTCTTCAACATTCGTGTATTTTTTCTAGGCTTCCTCAATTTCAAATCCTGCCTGATCAGTCTAATTAGTTTCTTGCTGAACATATAAATAATAATAATGATAATAATAACAATAATAATTATTATTATCCTTTATATCAAGCCGCAGTTCTTTCTCTCTCATTGGTTCAATGTCGTATCGAAAAATACGGTTACTTTAAAATGAAGATTAATTTTCCCCCTATCTTATCTTTTTTTGTACTGAATAAGACACAGACATGCCTCGCTAAGCAGACTAGAAAGACCAAAGAGACTAATGGCCTACTGTTCGTTCTTGGTGGATTATTCCCCAGATTACTATTTGTCCAGCTTTTAAACTTCACTTTAACACACTACCGATACATAAGACAACTGATGAAATTTCCCAATAATCAATTGAATTTTAGTTAAAAGTTGCAACTGAATGAAAACAGAATATGACTTTTATTGGGATTTGTATCACCTTGAGGAGCCGATTACCAGTAATCGGCTGCTGTCACCGATCAAGACAAAAATTTGGCACAGTTTTTTTTTTAAATTTTGCATAAAAATGAGATAGAAAAGCTATTATGTAACTTTTATGTTGTTAAACTGAATTCAGAAGTAACAATAACTATTAGAAATCGATAAAATTAAATCAATAACTATTACATTGTTAAAACTTCGGCGATCATTAATCAGCTGAATTTGTTCAGATTTTCAGGTGATCTAGCGGAGCGGGGTTTCAAGTTCAATGTTAATGAAAAAAAAAGTCTTTACACTTACGCTTTTAAAACTTTATAGCAATTCCTCACTTTTAGTTGGTGGAACAGTGAAAAATGTAACAACAGATGATTCTGTTGAAAGGAGCAAAGAAACAACTGGGTTGTCTTTGCTGCCTCAAAAGAACCATACAGTCACAATGATAAACAGTCAAAATATTGGAACAGCGCTTAAAACCTATGTTCAAAGCAATCTTTTTGTTGAATATAAAACTGAAAATTTTCAAAGTGTACACACAAAAGCAATTGTCTAAAACGCTATTTACTCAGCCTCAGTGTTTTATACTGAAATTTTCTCAACTAACATTTAGCAATTGCATCAAAAAGAAGAACACAACAATAAAAAATTAGGTTTTTATATCATAATGACGGGAAACGAAAGTCGTCTAGGAGCAATTTCGAGCAAAAGTTTAGGTTGTAGCAAGTTCGAAGAGAAGTTCATAAATTCAAAATAACTTTGCATTGTCCAAATATGACTTATTAAGAAACTATCTCAAAAGTGATTACAGAAGATCTAATGATTTGGGTTAATTAACCCAGCATCTCAGTTAAAGTGTGTAAATTTAATCTTAGCAAATGTATGCCTTTTGTTTGCACAGTGGATCGTGGTGGTTATTAGTGTTGACAGACCTGTCTATAGAAAATAAAAAATTAATCAAGGACTTGGATGACTTTGCTTGTTCAGGCAATCTGCATTGACTCATTTCCTAGGCATATAAGAAGCTGCATGTGTTTCTGCAGACTAGATACCTGGTTCACACAGCATTAAGCTGGACACAAGTTCATCATGAAAGTTTCAGCGATTTTCTGGGTCTTCTGTGCAACTCTCCTCGCCAGTTACGGGGATGGTAATTGTCCTTTTAAAACAATATATTTTTTTTCAATCATTTGTCTAAATATTTAGTCTCTTAAAAGAGCAATGGAAAGTAGCTGTGATCGGGGTCAAACCCGTCAAAGAAGGCAATCCGATAAAAAACAAACTTTAAAAATCGATAAAGATAGAAACTGAACATAAAAGAAAGTATGATGACCGAAAATACTTTCGAATCGAAAAAGAATCGTTCCATTACTGATGCAATATTCCTTTTCGTCTCATTAGAACGTGAATGTTTTGTTTCTTTCTTTTAAAACTATTATAACGGTAATGATAAAATATTACCTATTTATTTCTTATATACATTTAGGTATCCGGCATGTACGATGAAAGGAATTTTAATGTCGAATTATATTTAAAATTTGGAGAACTACTTCATTTAATAGCCTAATTTATCATTGTACACATGTACAGGACGGCGTTGTGGCTATAAACCTAACGTACGAATTGTAGGAGGTACGGAAGCGCCCCAAGGAGCTTGGCCGTGGCAAGCACAATTGAGGGATATATATGCAAGCCGGGATGAGCAGTACTGTGGAGGAACGTTGGTTGCTCCACAATGGCTTGTCACTGCTGCACATTGTGTGACCGATATGACGCCCTCAGACATCAAAGTGAGGTAGATGTACATACGAGTATTATCGCGTATTAAGAGATTCATTTTAGTTTATTCATTTCAGTTCTTTTTATGCGAGCTCATGAATCGTGATGTTTTTATTTGTTATCTGATTTTTTATCTATTGTGTACATTTATCTATTTTGTAGTTAGCGTCTAGTTTTAATGTCAATTTCTTGTGATTATTTTTACTTTTTAGTTTTATGTAATTTTTGTAAACATCGCCTTTGAATCTTGTAGAAAAGGCGCTATATAAATGGATTATTATTATTATTATTATTTATTGTTTATAGATACAGCTAATGCTCGAATTAGCGCCAGGGGAGCGCGGTGTCGAAAAAAGGTTGCCGATTGGGGACGTGGGAGCACTGACTTCGTTTTTCGGAGTTCGGAGCTTAAAAAAACATTGTCTTTTTCCAAATAAACTCAGGCTGTGGCAAAAGTATAACGTATCCTTAAAGCGAAACAATTTTTTTATGTGACCACCCTCAAAGTGCTGTTTCCTTTGAGGTCCTCTTTGTTCTGTATTGAAATGATACTGATCTACGTATATACTATACATTCAGTATTTTTCCTTTCTATGGTGACAGTTTGGGGTGGGGCACTTATTTGAAGGAGGGAGCTTATTTGGAGGTGCGCGCAAAATCGAGAATTTACAGGAATAGACCTTTGGAGACCACAGGGTAGATTGATTAGTACGTTCTAGAAAATTATGTGCGATGCGTTAGACTTTCGATAAAACCGTAGAACAGTGTTTTAAAACTTTCTCACAAAGGATTTAAAATGTTTCCCAGCAAAAAGGTTCGTCAATAGTCTTCAGTAAGACGATACGTTTGATGCCTAATTTCAAACTTACAACAGGGCTAAAAAACCGAAGAGAACTAAGTTATAAAATAAAATTAAAGTATATCTTTAGCTTAATTTCTCTTCTTGAATTTAATTCTGTAGACTTGGAGCTCATTTACGCAATGGCTTTGTAGGAACGGAGCAGGATTTTGAAGTGGCAAAAATCATATCTCATGACAGCCATCACGTTCCTGTCGCAAATGCTTATGATATCGCCATGGTAAAACTTAAGAGGCCCGCAAGATTAGACAGAGCTGTTAATCTGGCATGTTTACCGCAGTCAGGAGGAAGAGTCAAAAATCGGAAGATGTGTTGGGTAACAGGTATGCTTGAGGAAAAAATATTAAGGCTGGCTGAGGAGAGATTATTGTAAAATCTGTCAGCGAAATTATTTTCGGCTTTGCCACAAGACTTCACAAAGGGCTTGGTTTCTTTTACTGAGTTTTGTACTCAAGCTCGTTTTAGAGTGTTGTATACTATAAATTTAAAGTTTTTTTGGCTGTTAAGTTTTGTTGACGTTTGTATAATGGTACCCTTATTATACTAGGGTTCGGAAAGCTGTCATCAGGTGGGCCATACGCTACTGCCCTTATGCAAGTCGAAGTTCCAATTGTATCAGATAACAAATGTGCTGCCAGTTATGGTTCAGGCCTTCATNGTACATTCTAGAAAATTATGTGCGATGCGTTAGACTTTCGATAAAACCGTAGAACACTATTTTAAAACTTTCTCACAAAGGATTTAAAATGTTTCCCAGCAAAAAAGGTTCGTCAATAACCTTCAGTAAGACGATACGTTTGATGCCTAATTTCAAACTTACAACAGGGCTAAAAAACCGAAGAGAATTAAGTTATAAAATAAAATTAAAATATATCTTTAGCTTAATTTCTCTTCTTGAATTTAATTCTGTAGACTTGGAGCTCATTTACGCAATGGCTTTGTAGGAACGGAGCAGGATTTTGAAGTGGCAAAAATCATATCTCATGACAGCCATCACGTTCCTGTCGCAAATGCTTATGATATCGCCATGGTAAAACTTAAGAGGCCTGCAAGATTAGACAGAGCTGTTAATCTGGCATGTTTACCGCAGTCAGGAGGAAGAGTCAAAAATCGGAAGATGTGTTGGGTAACAGGTATGCTTGAGGAAAAGAATATTAAGGCTGGCTGGGGAGGGATTATTGTAAAATCTGTCAGCGAAATTATTTTCGGCTTTGCCGCAAGACTTCACAAAGGGTTTGGTTTCTTTTACTGAGTTTTGTACTCAAGCTCGTTTTAGAGTATTATATACTATAAATTTAGAGTTTTTTTGGCTGTTAAGTTTTTTTGACGTTTGTATAATGGCACCCTTATTATACTAGGTTTCGGAAAGCTGTCATCAGGTGGGCCATACGCTACTGCGCTTATGCAAGTTGAAGTTCCAATTGTATCAGATAACAAATGTGCTGCTGGTTATGGTTCAGACCTTCATGAATCCATGATTTGCGCTGGATATAAAGAGGGAGGAAAGGATTCCTGCCAAGCAGATTCAGGTGGACCACTTGTCTGTGAGAGAAATGGACAGTTTGTTCTCGAGGGCGTGGTATCGTGGGGTCACGGATGTGCCTGGCCTAAGAAATATGGGGTCTACGCTAATGTGCGCTTCTTAAAGCAATGGATTGATGATACTATGAAAAATAATTAACATACCCAAGTGGACATGAGTACATGGGTTTTTGGATAACAAAGAAATAAAAAAATCAAATTATTGATTTGCGTTTCTGAATGTCCATGCAGGTTTTTAACCCTTTCAAAAAAAAACCCATTCAAAAATAGTGCTGAATGTAAACATTAGTAAACTCCTCAAATTAAAACGAGCTAGTGCTACAGGTAGATCGGCTACAAACAACCTTGCGCGAAGGCTACGAGCAAACCCCATAAAACTTTTCCTTCTATTTTGAGGGAAAATTTTATATGACTAGCCTGTGTACAGACGTCCCCCCTCCCTCTCCCCATTTTTCCTTGATCATGAGGGACGGGGACGTATGTACACAGGCCATATGACAGATAACATGAACATTACGAGATATGCTGTTGCAGTCGGTCCTGTAATGTCATACTTCATCATTTATTCATTGATCGAATGTCATCAATAGCAAACAAAATATTTCAAAAACTATCCATGTATTGTTTAATTTTGGAGACACACAGTCCTTCAGGCTAAAAAGATATATTTTTCCTGGTCGCTCAATATCACAGATTTGAAGAAATAAAAAGTAGCATAAACTGCCATTTACGCGCGGTAACCACTTAGAGAACTGCTAATAGTTGGACAGCTTTATAACTGAGACTCATCCAGGAGAATTTTGCCGAAAAAAGCCGTATGAAGCAAATTAAGCTGTTTCCAGTTCCAGCCCAAAAAGAACCAAAAATACCCAAAACGTTGTTTACACGTCGAGCTCTATGCATGCGTTGATTTCTGATGGCAAAGAACGGCCTCCGAAGTTCTGCATGCGCAGAAGGCCAAATTTCGCTCCCATCCCTGAAACGTTTCTGCGGTAGGCAAACATACTTCTCGATTATGGAGTTGGATGGAATGTTAGGGGCAAAGTAAAGTAATTAAAAGTAAAACTTTATTTACACAGGGTAACCCATTCAGCTCAAAGGCTGGTCTCCATAGTGGCCCTGTATCTTAAAAATTAATTCACCTTCAGAATTATTATAAAATATTACATTTCAAAGTCTAAAATATAATAAAAATTTCAAGTCATGATAAGAAGAAATTTCTTGCTCGGCGGCAAAACGTCTAAATCTTATCACCCTTCACGATGTCTAAGGCGAGTTTATTAAAACATTTTGCGCCAGTAAACAGAAAGGTTCTTTCCCAAGATTCTGCTTAACTTTTGGTAGAGATAGCCTCATACTTTGCCATGTGGAATAATTTCCTATTTGACCCCGTTTTTTGCCTTTTTCCCCCACTGCGGAACCTGGTCCCAGGCTAGGCAGATCTATTCTGTAGGCGCTGTAGTCTATCCATGTCTTGTTGTAGAAGATTACTCCAAGCGATGTCACAGTAGTAATCAAATAATGAAAGAATTAAAGTGTTGTGAACCGTGAGTGTTGCTGCCTCTTTTGTGACGAAACTTCTAACATAGACCACATCCAAGTTTAGGCGTTTAAAAAGAGAAAAGAGACATTTTAAAGTTTTTTTTTGAAAAGATTTAGTGCCGTTTAGGTTATTTATCAAATTTCGTAATTCATCCTTTCTGTGCTTTATTCCTTGACGTTAATATCATAGAGCTTAGCCAACGAGAAAGGTGACAGCAGAGAAAACTTCACGTATAATCAGATGAAGTGATTTCGCGTTCTTTCCTTTTAGAAATTTGGACCAATTATCGTGGAGTTGAATGGTTAGGGGCTGCAGCATTCAAGTTTTTAACCTTGTAAGCCCCAGTATCCACATACAAATTCTCCAAACTGATCTCCATACATTTCCTTAAAGAACGAGTTGAGAGAATTTGATAAAAGATCAAGGAACTTTTACTTGGGTGATCATTTTATTAATTCTCATAACTTATCTGTTGACAATGTATGGATATTGTCAGGAGAAAATTGATCTTGGTCACTACTGGGACTTAAAAGGTTATAAAGAGGGAGTCGTCGTGGTGGATATAGATCCTCATGGAACGTCGTATGTACAGTTAAGGAGGTTTCAGTTGTTCAAGAGTCCTTCAAGTCATTTTGTGCTAAATAGATGAGTGGAAAGCCGAATCCTTTTATTCTTTTGAAAGGGGTATTGTTTCCCTGGAATACACAACCTTACAAAAAGAAAAGAAAAAAGAAGAGAAAATGCTTGGGAAGTTGTCTCCAAGCGTTAAAAAACAGCGAATCTTTAACTGACACAAATGAGGACCACCGTTTTTTTTGAAAGGTTAAAATTTTCATTTCCGCCTTCTTATTAGAGTATGGAATCCGGGCCAAGTTTACAATAATACACATCGATAAAATAGTCAAATATAAACCGCATTTTTCTGCTCTTTTATTTACTCCCTTTCGACTTTGTACCGAGGAGTTGGTTTCTTAAAATCAGCTCATTTTATCATCAATCCACTTCCTCAGGTAACGAACTCTGGCGTAGACGCCATATTTGCCTGGGGCGGCACATCCATATCCCCATGACACAACACCCTCGAGATAGTACTTTCCACCTGACTCGCAAACCATGGGGCCACCAGAGTCCCCCTGACAGGAATCTTTGCCACCCTCTCTTAGACCAGCACAGACCATGGAGTCATGAATGGATGAGCCATAAGCATATTTACAGGCACTTTGGGAGACCACGGGCACAGAAACCTGTTGGAGAACGTTTGGAGACGAACCACCTGAGGAGAGTCTTCCAAATCCTGAAGGTCCAAGAAAAAGAAAGACGAAAGAAGGATATTTCGTGGACGATAGAACAATGGATTTTTCCTATTTTAAATGATATATCAGCAGTAAATTAAGACGTCAACATACGAGGGTGCGACTGGCAGCATCTATCGGACCATTTACGAGCTTATTCTGGCCGTCATATGAATGATGTGTGTAAGGAAGAGTATTAAGAGCTAAATACCAAAAAAAGTAACTGAAAAGTTATGACATTCAAGACTTGATTATGATATAGGGGAAATTAAGAATTGCCTGACTTTTTCCCTCTATGGTTAAACCTGAGAGAAATTCACGTCGGTTTATACCTGTTACCCAGCACATCTTGCCGTCTGAGACAGTACCGCTTGATACTGGTAAACACGCCAGGTTAACAGTTCTGTTAATTTGAGCAGGTCGTTGGAGTTTGATCAATGCGATATCATGCGCCAATCCATAAGGTCGCCTGTAGCTGGGATGAGAAATGATCCTCTCCACGTATAAATCCTGCTCTGTTCCAGCGTCGCTTTTAATGCGATAGTGAGCACCAAGTCTAGAAAATTGAACAACTTTCTTCTAAAAATCAAATTATTTTTTTTAAATAGGCATTCTTAATCACAGGGGGCAAATATCACGAGGTTGTCGCAGTTAAACGCCGGCAACTAAGAACAAAACGGACCGTTTATAACTGGGACGATGGATGCATTAGTTGATTGATCAACCACTGATTAAACTCGTCTGATTACGATTAACTTTCATGCTTCCGAGTTAACTGCTTAACATTGATTTCCCTTTGTAATTGCTTTGATCATATTACTTGGTGTGTATGCACATGTATTGATTATAAATTAAGCTATATTTCTTTTCTTAATATGATCTCACCTGACACGAATGTCTCTTGGTGATTTATTAGGTACGCAATGAGCAGCTGTGACAACCCATTGTGGTGCAACTAAAGTTCCTCCACAGAAAGGAAAGCCTGAGGTAGTCCTTATCTGTGCTTGCCACGGCCAAGCTCCTTTAGGGGCATCGGTACCACCGACAATTCGAGCGCGAGGTTTAATTCCACATTGTCCCGAGCCACCGCCACCACCGCCACCACCGCCTCCACCGCCAGTACAGTAACCACAGCTTTTCTGACAGTTACTCCTCAGGTATTTTTCATATCTTCCCTTACAGTATCCTCGTTGTTTCCAGTAAGGACAATGTCCATTCTTGTCTTCACAACCTAAATTATCAACCAAACGCTCTTTAAATGTGGAAAAAAAAAAAAACAACAACAACAAAAAAACAAGCACTGCTCGGCTCATTTCCTCACGCGAAGGATTTCAATCAAAAAAGAACAAGGGGGATGGAAATGGAATTCGTGGACTAAAAAATTGACATAGCAAGCAAAACTACAATAACTTTGGACAGAGTGAACTATTTACAATTATTTACTATTTACTATTCACACCGATTCTGGCAACCTCATTTCAAATTTCTATATATATAGGATAATCATTGCAATGTAAATGTTGAATTGGTACAATTTATTAACTTATAAAGTTCTGTGAAAACCTAGTTTTGCCCAGATTGTCCCATGAGCCGGAGAGCAAACTTTTCTAGAGCATCACGGTTATCATTGTAGCTATGCTCCAAGCGCGCTTCATCACATTTTTTCAAATTTAGTTGTCAAAAAACTTACTCATCATAGAATCAACTTTACTCACAAGCTTAAGGGTAATCGAGACACAAAGCGTGTTACTACGTACGTTAACCCGTATACGTTAACCCCGAGATGTTAGTGTGTGATAACCTTAAAATGGCTTTTGGATCAAAATAAGCTAATTATATTCTCTTTTCTGTTACAGGACTTAAGTATAAAAGCAACCTTAAAGTTAAATTTAAATTTAAGAGCAAATGTCTGTAAAAATCGAGCAAAATCGAAATTTCGCGGCCACAGTCAAAAAATCATTTTCGCTCATATCTTGTCCATAGATAGGCATAAGTAAGTAACTAAACGTGGTGTAGTTTGTTTTTCAAAAGGCCGCTTGGATTTGGAGAAAATCGACAAAATCAATTTTCGTGGTCGGCGACTT